TGCTGCTTGCCATCAATCTTGATGTACGCCAGCGAGTAGAGTGCGGGTTAAATGAGAACTTGCTTCATGGGCTCAGATGTATGAGTCTCCAGTGCTGGCACGGTTTGGAGAGACTGTGGACTCTTTGGGAGGAGGAGGGTTGCTAGACAATGTGTGCTACTGGGGATGGGCTTTGGAAGTTTAAAGCCTCAGCTACTTGCTGTTTGTATTCTTTGATTCCTGCATGCATCTGAAGATATGAGCTGTCACCTTCCTGATCCTGCTGCCATGCCTGCTGCTTGTTGCTATATAGTCCTGCCATGATGGAAATGTAAGCCAAAATAAACTCTTCCTTCTACAAGCTGCTTCTGGTCCTGGTGTTTTATTACAGCAACAGAAAAATGAATGATGCAGAAGTCAGGTTCCTATACTAGAGGCTGAACTAATGGACTCACCTTATTGGTTATATCTTCCATGATGACAGCTTGGACTTTTAGCTAGCAATAATGAACTTAAAGAAATCTGTTACTTATGAAGTACCCAGCTTTTGATATTTTGCTATAGCAAGACAAATTGGGCTAATATAAAAATCAAAAGGATTTAGAGAAGAAAGGTTGCAAATTTGAGGATTAGAAAATTGCTGGGATTTTAATGTTATAGAATGGACTGGAACTGAAAGTAGAGAATGCTAGACTGTCTTACTGTTTGAACTATAGCTCTAGTCTTTTTTGATACACTGTCACTCTCTGTCTTGCTATAGCATCTCAGCATCCCAGGGACTTTGGGGATATAGGACATGTGATTCCCTTTAGCTAAAATCTGTGCTATGTTGAGATTACATGGCCCCTCAAATGGTACTTACTGTGCATCAGGCATTTTATAACATTTCTAAAACCCTCTATTAGAAATCTGAACAGTGCTCTCCATTGGATTATAAAAACCAGCAAAATAAATAATTTTTCAGATGCCACTACCTGGCAGTTCCGTTACCCTTGCATTTAGTTGGATCAGAGTCATAGCTTTGATATTGAGTGTGTTTCATTCCTCATGAGAAGCAGGGAAGTGGTCTTTGTGTCTTTACCAAAACTCTTCATGTACCTAAAGGTCCAAGGTGCCATTTTTTTATCATTACATTTTTTTTTTAATTAAAAGCTGAGTAATAAAATCTTATGCTTCTGACCTTGTTTTGTTTCTGTTGCTGTGCTAAAACATTAATAGAAAACAACTTGGAGAAGGAAGGGTTTATTTCATCTTTCAGGTTACAGACCATCTTACAGGTAACACCAAAACAGGAGCTTGATGTGGAAAACATTGGGAAGAATTCTTACTTGTTTGTTCTTAGGTTCAACTTCATCTACTTTCTTATACAGCACAGGCCCACCTGCCTAGGAATGGCACTGCTCACCCTGGTCTGGGTGCTCCTACATTGACTATTACCCAAGAATGTTCAAAGATATGCCTACAGGCCAATGGGTTCATTGGCAGACCTTCCTCCATTAAGGTCCTCTCTTCCCAGATGATTCAAGTGGACAATCAATACCCTACACTAGTTTTAATTTGAAATTATTAAAACATACTAAGCATGAAGACTTTCCCAATTAAAAAAAAAAACTAAAATAAAATTTTCACATAAAAACATATGGTGGCTATGTGCTGGTAGGTTGACACTGTTCCTTTACCCATCACTTACTAAATGTTTCGTTTGAGAATGAAGAGACTATCCCAGGACCTTGACACTGTTCATTTTCCCATCACTTACTTAGGGTTTGAGAATGATGCTGCTATCCTGGGACATAGCCACTTCTAGGACTGGGATACATGCTTAGGTCTTGATCTTGCTTAATGAGCATATTAGCTACTTTTCTCATCACTGTGACAAAAATATCTGATAAATAACTCAAGGTAGGAAAGATGTCATTTAACTCTTCATTTTAGAGGGCTCAATTCATAGTTGCTTGGTCCATGTGTCTGGGCAGAATATCATGGTAACAGGAGCATGTGGTGGTAGAGGCACAGAGTACAGGAACGAGTGATGGATGAAAGGCTTCAAGAGGCTCCATCCCCAGTGATTTATTTCTTTCAGGTAGGTCTCACCCTCTCCTAAACCTTCTAAATGTCCTAAGATAGAGCCACCAAATGAGGGCCAGGCACTCGATGCAGGGATCTGTGGAAGACACACAACATTCAAACCATAACAACAAACCAACAGGAAGTAAACAAAAATATACACATGATAGCTTTTAGATAGTGGCAAATAGAAATGAATGCATAAATAAAACAGGAAGGAATTGAGGAGGAAGGGCAATTTTCAAAAAGGTACTTTTCTATAAGGGAAGATTGTTTTGTAGGTGTTTGGCATTGAATTGGCTCAGAAAAGATACTGTTATGAACTACTGAAGGCTGGGTGACACACAAAGAAAAGGGGCTTGTTTGGGCTATGATTTTGTCCAGAGACAAGTGCCTGGATCTTGAAATAGTCTTCTTAAGCAATAAGACTTGAAGTGCCACAGGGCAGCTCACAGCAAGGAAATATGTATTATTTCTGTGTTCTGGTTTTTAATCTCTCTCTTCTCACAAAGCTACCAGGATTCAGTTATGATGGCCACATTCTGTTGTCCTTTCTAATCCTGTTTGCATCTCAAACACCAGAAGCTGATTAACTTAATTTTCTGCTCTTCGAATACTTCACAATGGGGATCAAATCTCAACACATAGCCCTCTAGAACATACCCTCAACCTCTCGCTACAGCATAGTCACATGTTTCTGGTGAGGGATGAGTGGGCAGGATCTCAGAGGAAGGCTGAAGCATGCCGGTGTCTATGCTGGTGTGTGTGTTGGGGGGGGGGGGTTCTAACCCAGACAACCCCTTTTCTTTAGGTCTTTTCTCTTCAGAATTTGGTCTGACTTGTTTCTATGCTTCATCTCATTGTGGATTATTAATCTATTTATGAAGGGGCCAGGGCTACCCTGCTCTGAACAAAGTCCAGGTCACAAAGGCTGTTTCAGGCAATCTCGTGAGGATGGCCATGAGTCTTCCAATTTTCTGTGTCATTGTCATTCTCATACTGCAGTCAGGTTCTGGGAAAAGTATTTTATTTCGTTTTCAACAAGCAATTTACTGCTGTGGCAATACGACACAGTTAACACTTCCATTCCTCTAATAACCTTCTGGAAGCCCCTCCCTTCCCTGTCCTCCTCTGACCTCTCTCTTCTTCACAGTACACTTGCCCCAACCCTTCAGCTTCTCTTTGGTCCTACTCATTCAACTTTCCCAAACATACGTCTGCTTTTTTTTTTTTTCCTGTAGACTGAGGCTGGACTCCCAACCTTCTCACAGCCATTTTATCCTCATAACCCTACCTGACAGTCATGAGGGGAGACTGGGCAGAAATGGTACCCTAGAGCAGCAGGAGGGCTTCCCTAACCTGCCCGTGGTGGGTGATGGGCGCCTACGCTCTGCCAGTGCTGCCAATGACTGACCAGTTTGCTTCTTCTGCCATCAGTAAATCTGAGCCCTGTTTTTCTTCCACACTGTTGTCTAGAAGGCTCTTCCAGAGATTGTCATAGTTGTTTCCACTTTGCCGATTGTATCTCACCTTAAAAGGTCACCTCCTTAGTGGGGCCTTCCAGGACCGTCTCCCTAAATCACAGAATCCATGGCTTCTGTGATTTCGTTTCCACACTAGAAATAACTTGGCTCACACTTGCTTTCATTCTGGCCTTCTATCTGCCAGTCAAGTTTTACGAGCGCAAGGGCTTCAAATCTTGGTTAGAGAGAAGTACCCTGTCACAGGACCAACTCACTGCCTTGGGTTCACTGTTTTCCCTGAAGTATCTTAATGGGGTCAGAGGACATGACTGGCTAGCTTGCAGCAGGAGTTAGGAGCCAAGCAGAAATTAGGATGCCGAGTTTGGTGTTCCCACGCATTTCTCAGCTCTCTGTCCACCTACACGAACAAGGGGCTACCCCCAAACTACCGGAAGCCATAACCCCACGAGCCCTGAACAGGAACATTGCCCTCACTGAGCCAGTGGGTGAGGTGTGTGCTTGCCTAACCCAGCAAATCAAAAAATTTGGATTTTTTTTTTTTTTTTTTTTTTACCTCCAAAGACAAGGAAAGGAGAGGATTGTGGAGATTGAACATAAAGCTGCAGCCACAGACTCTGCCCACCCTCTTTTTATTTTTCTCCTCGTGCCCAGGGGAAACCCCAACGCCCACAGGGTTTGGGGAGCTCCTGCGTCATCGCTGCAGCATTCACGACCCAGCAGGAGCAGCAGCAGAGGCCTCCGCGCCAGTGATGCTAGTCCTCAAGGATGGCTTGGGTAGGGGGCTGCGGGGAGAGGCGGGGCGCCTCCTGGGCCTCCCGCAACCAAGGGGCGGGACGATGGAGCCCCACCCCTGCGAAGGAGGGAGGGAACCAGAGAGCGCTGCGGGTGGTGAGCGCTCCGCCCGGGCGCGCCTGCTTCTGCTGCCGCTACTGCCGCTGCTGCGGGTCTAAGGCTGTAGAGGCGGGCTGGGCGCGGGCGGGAGCGGGGAGGAGGGAGGAGGCGGCGGCGCGTGTGCCAGGCGGGCAGGCGGGAGGGCGGCTGGCACAGGGCTTGTAAATAAACTGCGATGCTGTCTCGGGCTTGCTGGCCCGGGTGCCGTCGCCGCCGCCGCCACCTCCCGGGAGCTTCAGTGCCAGGCTCCCACCGCCGCGCGCCCTAGCGCCACCGCGCCAGCCCCGCGCGCCCTCGCCGGGCTCCCCGCGGACCCCGGCTCTCCGCGCCCCTCCGGGTCCCGCGGCAGACCCGCTCGGGATGTGACCCCTTGACTCCACATCCGACCTCCCCTGCCCCCCGGGAGGCCCGCCTTTGCCTGCTTTTGGGGGGGAGGGTGGGCGGGGAGGGGCGCGCGGATCATGGCATTGGAGTTCCCGGGCTTGCAGCCTCTGCCGCCGCCTCATCCACGCACCCCAAGCGCTCCTTCTTCCCGGAGCAGCAGCGGAGAAGGCGAAGCGCCCGGTGGGGGCGAGGCAGATGGGGCTCAAGGCTCGCAGGGCGGCGGGGGCGGCCGGCGGCGGCGGCGGCGAAGGGGGCGGCGGAGGCGGCGGGGCCGCTAACCCAGCCGGAGGGGACTCGGCGGTGGCAGGAGACGAGGAGCGGAAAGTGGGGCTGGCGCCAGGAGATGTGGAGCAAGTCACCTTGGCGCTTGGAGCCGGAGCCGACAAAGACGGGACCCTGCTGTTGGAGGGCGGTGGCCGCGAAGAGGGGCAGCGGAGGACCCCTCAGGGCATCGGGCTCCTGGCAAAGACCCCCCTCAGCCGCCCAGTCAAGAGGAACAACGCCAAGTACAGGCGCATCCAAACTTTGATCTACGACGCCCTGGAGAGACCGCGGGGCTGGGCGCTGCTCTACCACGCGCTCGTGTGAGTACCCGGCCGCTCGGGGCGCCCGTAGGCGGCGGTGCACCTTAGGGTTCGGGGCCAGGGCTGGAGCTGAGGAAGTGTCTGTGGCTTTGGCCACTCGGAAGCACTCTCCGGCTTGGGTTAGGGGTGGAGGGACACCAGTCTGGCCTAAGCTTATGGTACTCTGCGGTGTGACTGAGAGCAGTTCCTAGTGCCTATGAAATCAGGGCTTAAGTGAACTAAACGCGGTTCCCGAGCTGACTTGGAGATTTGGATTGGCGAGTGCGCGCAAGTGCGCGTGTATGGTACCTTCTGGGATGTTGACACGGAAGCTTAAAAGAATTGCATGATTTTTTTTTTTTTTCTAATGAATGTAACCATTGAGCAGGACCAAACCAGTGCTCTCCCAAGCACCGGTTCTTTTGGGTTGTATAGCTTGCTTCTCTTGCAGTCTCCACTCTATTTGAATGATAAATCCCAGAGTTGAGGATAGTAGTGGAGCACACCGTCCATAGTGGTGTGTGTGTATGTGTGTGTACGTGTGTGTTACATGAATATGCTACCCTTCCTAGGGCTCAATGCCGGTGTCAAAAAGGACTGGGGGTTTAGACGGGCCAAAATGTATGCAGGTCTTTGTGTTCTTTTAGAGGAAGGAATAGGAGACTAGGAGAGGGGTGGGATTTCCAAGCTTAGTCCAATGGTTGGGGTTTAGCAGAGCCAGAGGTGGGGTGAGGCCATGTAACGCTGGAACATCCTTATGGTTTGGGTTTAACATCCCATAGTTTAGGTTCTGCTATCTTCGTAGCTTCAACTATTGCCCATCTATTGGCTTGGCTGGACCAGAGCATTGGACTCCTTAGAGTCCTAGTGGGAAGTTTGTCCCCAGGGACTCCTTTAAAAATAATCTCCGTGCTAGCCCAGGAGGTAAGTGCAAGGCCAGAAGGAAAATGGAACTCTAGATGTACCGACCCCAAGGATGGAAATTACACCCGTTCTTAAGGAAGAAAAGAGGGTGCTAGCTGAGGGACTCCCCACCTAGGACAGGAATCCTGATTGCCACAACACCTGGGGTGTGACAGGGCACTTCTTGCTACCAGCTGCTTCCTAGCTTTGGCTTTGGGAGCTGTGTTGCTGTCAGGGTTTGGGCAGGAAATTGGCTATTGACCTTGACCTTCCTATTTAAGGTTTCCTTCCATTTGACCCTTGACAGAAAAAGAGGGAAGAGGTCAGGAAATGTCTCCTGTTTGCTAAGTACCTGCCTGTCATTTAAGGTTGAAAAAGCTTTTCCTGGTTTGGCCACCAGGTGGGGCGTCCACACAGGACCTCAGATTTGTGCAACAGGTTTCTTAAAGGTTACAAATGCCTTGAGAAAATCCTTGGAAATTCAGGAAGAAGGATGAAGCACCTTATCAGGGACTTGGATTTGGGTTGGTCAAGCCTTTGATCTCTGTGTATTTGCAGCTGCTGGGAAGTGTCTGGCGAAAAGCTGGACATAAGTTGTTTTTGTTTTTTGTTTTTGTTTTGTTTTTTTTTTTTTTCCTGGAGAACAAGCTTAAACTTGCATCCATTCTTTGGTCTCTAGCACCGTGTTCAAATAGAAATGAAATAAATTGAAATGAAATAAATGCTAGGGTGTATATGTTTTAAAAAAGGTTCAACAAGCTATCTGAGTGTAGATCCCATGTCCCTTTTCACAAAGTTGTGCATGATGCGCATTTAATGACTTTGGAACCTGGAGTTCTATTGAAACTTGAGATTCCTTCTTTCTTCTCCCACCTTTCCTAGCTGGCACCTGAAGCCTTCCTTTGCCCGTCTGCAGAGAGACTAGCTAAAGCCTATTATAGATACTATAATGTTATAGTACAAGGCAGTATAGTAAATGTTATAATAACAGAGTGTATAATGTTACAATAACATTATAGTACATGCTATAATGTTATTTTAGTGTAGAATTGTACGTCTCTTAGAAACAGGTTCGTAAGTGCCAAACCTAAATAGCCCGAGTTTCCCAGAGAGGACCCAAGAAAGCTTAAGACTATTAAAAGTGTCAGATATATACAAAGGTTGCTTAATTCTCACATGACCATAATGAGGTAATGGTTGTAATTTATGCTGTGTGGCTGAAAATTTGACAACTGCAAGAGATAAAATCAGGTTGTCAAAGACTGTAGGGCTAATGTTTCTAAAGCTCACACCTGGCTTTGTTGCTGAGCTCAGATCCCAGTTCTAACCCTTGGGGTATTTTGCTGAGCATTACTGGGTGCCCTGTGCCTATTGGTAACACAAGACTCTTCGTAATCTGTTTTTCTAGCTCAATTAAGAAATCAAACCGGAATCTAATCAGAACCCAGGGGCCAGTTGTTAGGAAAATGTGAGGTGGGTGAGGGTGCGGCTGGGGTTTGTGGCTTGTGATAAATAGGGTGCTTTATTGGAAAGCTCCTCTTGGGCTGGATTTGGGCTCCTAGGACTTAGACAAGCTTACTAAGCGGATGCATTTTTCATCCTTCCTCAAACTCAGGAGGAGCCTGGGCAAGGGAGCACAGCTGAATCTTCATTGATGATTCAGGATTTTTCGAGGGCTTAAAATTCAGACTTCGAAGTGACCATTATCCTGTGCTGGGCTGTGGCTAATAGCAGGAAGGAACCAAGGGGACCAAGAAATTAGGTTGATCATGAGCTCACAGACCAGTGTGCTCTCTTCCTTTTGTAAATTAACCAGGCCTGGGAAGTGAGGTTTCTTTCTCTCCTCTGTCCTAAATATAAACTAGAGGAAATGTGGAAATCAATCATCTCTCCCACCCTGCTTTCTATGCCTTAAGGGCTCACCCTCTGCTTCCTCCTAGCTAGTCACCTTCACCTTGACACAGAGCTGGTTTCACCAGCTCCAGGAACCTTTTTTCCCAGACTCCTATCTGGCTGAGCTGGAAGTTATTCCCTATATCTTCTCCAGCCATCAAATCTTGTGTACTGCTTTGAGCTGATGTGTTCGCTCTTTTGCTTGAGAGTTGGGGGAGGGGCTGCATTTTTATTTTTATTTTCCTTTTTCTTTTTTAACATTCTTAATCCCCGGGAGGCTGTAGAACCCATGGTAGGTACTTAGTAAGCATTTGCTGTGTGGATGCGTGGCAGAATTCTCTCAGGATTCTAGCTAATCAAGACTTTGCTGTAATAGCTTCGCTGTTATAACAGCAACAGCCATAAGCAGCCAGAGTCAGCAACCCCAGGGTTTTACTGAGAATAGTCCTTGGGAATGTTGAGCTTTGGGGAAGGGTGGACAAGATGGGACTCTTTCTTGGCTTCAGGAAAATCTGAGCACAGCTCTGTATTTGGCTAAGGCACAAGCTTTGATGTTACAGAATACAGACTGGGTTCCTAGTTGGCGTATGGGAATTTGCAGGAGTTAAGCGGGAATGACCTGGAAGCTGAGGATGGTGGTGCTGCCCCCATTGAAGAATGGTTTCCAGGCTTAAACTAGCAGCTATGAATGGAATAAACCAACATTAGGTACCCTATATTCAGTTGGTTTTGACTAGGGTCTACTTAGAAGTCACACATACTTGATGCTGTCACTGTCCTGAGCATGTTAGTAGAGAGATGCTGGCCTCATCTTGGCATTGGTGCTGGCTTGGCACTCTGAAGGCATCCTGTTGCCCTGGCCGTGTCTTTGCAGCCAGCTGGGTATTGTCCCTTGCCACCTGTTAGCAAACCAAAGGGAAAGGATCTGGAGAAGCACCTGCTGCTGTTTTCTAAGGGAGGCTGGCTTGAGGCATCTGGCAGGCAAGGCTGATTGCTTAGATCCACTGACCCAGTCTGTTCCATAAAAGGAAAGAGAATGACTGGTGGCCTTAGCCTGGAGAATTTACCTAGGGGTTGATGGAAAATGCCTACATTTACAATTTTGGCACTCAACAGACACTTCTTTTTTGTGTCTCCTCTTGATCATGTTTAACCCACCATTTTTTGAACCTCATGAAATCCACATGCAATCTACTTTATAACAATTGCACTTTATTTTTCTCTTTATTTCTTGATCTCCTTTCCTTCCTCCAAGCTTTAGGACATTTTTTTAAGCTACTTGGATTGCATAAAGGAGCTAGGTAAGGTGATAGATTCAACAGCCCATAGTATTTTTTTGTTTTTATTTATTTTTGAGATTGTTTTATAATCACAATGTTTCTCCTTTCCCTTTCCTTCTTTCAAACTCTTCCATGTACCCTCCCTGCTCTCCTTCGAATCCATTACCTCTTTTACATCAATTATTGTATACATATGTGTATTTGGATATACACATGTATTTCTAAATATAACCTGTCTAGTCCATATAATGTCACATATATGTATGTTTCCAGAACTCACCACGTGGTACTGAATTACCAGTCTCTTCCTTAGGGAACCATCTCTCCTGCTTTGCTCACTTGCCCATTGTTATTTGTGTAGGGTTGATTGTTCATGGGCTTTTCCCTGTTTAGTTTGCCATGTTTGTTGGCGTCCAAACATGTGTTAATTACAGGCAATGTCCACAAAAAGGTGTCTTTGAAGTCTAAGATGAAAATCTTTGGCTAAATAGAACAGGTTTTCTTAGATTACTGCATCCTCTCCATGGACCATACTACCGTTCTCGGCATCAGGCTTTGTCCTCTGATTGTAGATACATGATGCAAAAGATTCTGCAACTTGGTGAACTCGCTTGCTTGTTTCAAGGCTGCTTAAACCAAGCCCTCCAAAAGTGTCAGACCTCATGCCTATGGATGGAGATGAGCTGGAAGTTTTTCTCTCTGAAGACAGAGTCTTGAAACACCATAGCTTGGGAAGCTTATAAGGAAAAGAGCATAATTCTTGGAATCCTAAAGGCTGGAAGTTTCCTATCCAGGTGAAAATTTGATTTCTGCTTCCAAGTTGATGTCTTGAAGTGTCCACCATGGAGGGAACACTGTGCTCTCACTGTCAGAAGGTGGAAGGATAAAAGGACTAAACACATGAAGCTTCTTTTATAAGGGTGTGAATTTTGCTGACAAGGGGAA